GGCTGAAGGAGTACATGCCGTATGAAAAGAGAGTTCCCAACCATGCCGATTAGAGAATGGCCATTGCAAAGGTCACTTCTATGTGTCTTCCTGCTTTGGTAGTGTTAAAAAGGAGTGACGCATTTCAGAGGGCAGCGCTAAAACAACACGCTTAGTTTGCGGTCTTCGCATGTGTTTGGGGAAGGTGGAAATCAATTCAAAACAAATCAACACTATCTTTTTGTCATCTAGCCATAGTAAACAAAAATATTTTGTTTTGATCTAGGTCTTTCACTTGCCATGAAAAGACATGTTGACTTTTGGGCTCTTGCAAGATTCACAAAAAAGCAAATGGCTTAGTTTGTAAGTTCAGAAAAATACCAGCTCTTCTGCCACTCAACAGTCCAGACGTTACAGTACGTTTACATGTTTGATTCCTGCCTCTGCCTGAGAGGATTTGAACCTGCATTTCACCTTACCAGTAAAGCGATCTAGCCATCATTCTACAAGGTGGACTAGCGTAACAGCACTAGCAATGTTCTTTTACTCAGCATATAAAGAATCACTGGCAAAATGGCTGGAGGCATATGGATTCTCAGCCAAGAACACTAATCACCAGGATAGAGTCATTCTGATTTTCCTCATCACTAGTTTAGTTAATATTTACATATGCCAAGCAAAATGTAAATACTTCACAAGAGAGGACTGTTTCAGGATAACCTCCTTACTGCTTATCAATGCTAATCGGAAGACAGGACATAGATTTCAAATGCAGCTGTTGAGATATAGATTATGTAAGCAACATGGGATATTTACATCAGGAGGACGCGGGGGTGTCACCAGTTCTGCAATGCTCAGCTATCTGCAGGCTGGTTCACTCTGATGGGATATAGGAAATTTTGACTGAGATCACTTTCAGCTTTGGTCTCCCCGTTAGTGAGTAGGGGCCATATCCATCAGTCTACTACTTAAAAAGATACAACTAATTCTTCACATCTCCCCTTGACTTCCCTACTCCCTTCAGATACATTGCCACACAAGTGCTGGCTGTTAACAGATTCAACACTCAGACACAGGACAAGGCTTGAAGCCTTGCTGTGAAGAGTCATTAACCACCTTGGATGCATTGTGGCTTGCTTTGCTCTTCTTTGGGAGAGTTAAGGTTCGAAGTGAGCGTTCCCAGCTTCTCAGCAGCTTTCCCTTGCTCCTTTTTCTCCAGGGAATACTCAATGACACACCACAAGCTCTAGCTAAAGGCAGCTAAAAAAAATCTCCCTGTAATGGGTGGTTATGGGATAGCTTACTCTAAGGTTATGCTAGAAGCTTCCACTGAAACACAACATTAGCCGGACAGAGGACGAGAGGAAATTACAGGGCCCATTTGTCTCATCCGTTACAGCAATCCTTACATTCTCATCATGGTTGATACAGTGATGGTGCTGGCTTTCCAAGATGTCCAATGGCAGCGCAGATTACAGAGTAGCACATATATTCTCTGACAGTAGTATCTACTGGACCTCTCTTTACTGCAAAGGATAGGGCTATATAACTACCACAGACAGGAGAGAGAGCAGCATTAAGTCTCTCAAAAAAAAAAGCTCCAAGGAATAGGGCAGGCTTTCAAGAATACAAGGAGACAGAACTCAGTGATTACGAAAAAGAACAGAAATAGAAAAAGAGTTAGACTGGATATTACCAAAAAAAACATCCTGAAAATGATTTCAATCAGACAGCAGAATAGCTTCCTATGGGAAGAAGTGAAATCTTTATCGCCCAAGGCATTTAAGCTACACTAGAAAATGACTGTACTTTGTAGGAAACAAACATTCACTAGCCCTGAGGCAGTAGATTAGATGACCTAAGAGGTCTTTTCTTACCTCTAATTTCAGTGATATCATTAAATTGCTGCAAGAAGATAGCAAGTTGTATCTGCTTCAAGACCACAGCTGCAAGCTCAGAGAAGTAATAGAGCTGAGCGAATGCCAAAAACAAAAATCCAACTCTGTGCTAGTAAAACTTATCTTAACCTTTTACAAATAAATGAAAAAAATCAGAAATATGCTAAGCCTTCAGATTTCAAACTGCTAAGGGTCAAAGCAATTGAAAACATTCCTTAATTTTGCATGCCCATCTCATGAGAGCTGTTTCATCATCTTCAACCAAAATATGGAGGCACATCAGACTTCCAGACATCTGAAAAATCTGATACTAAATGATAATTTTTCTCCCAAGCTCTTGGTTGTTTGATCCCACCTACCCTACATTGTCTTTTAACATATGTGATAAGGGCCCAGAACGGAAGGTACTAACAAGGGGACTAGGCTTAGCTGGTTAAAAGAAATAGTTTAAAATAGCCCACAGCTCACATCAGCTTCCTCATTTTGATGGGGCAGCATTTCTTGATATCAATAATTCATTGTAAGAAACAGAGATAGCTGCATATTTGTATGGCACAGTATGAAAATTTGCACCTAAAATTGGCAACCTAATCTCTTAATCAGGTACTACAGCAAATAAGTGTCTATCAGGGCAATCAGTAATGCTGAGTCAGCTGAAGCAAACAGCTCATTTCAGCTTGCTGTAAAAACCATCTCTTACGCAACTCTTCAATTTTCCAGAAGACCATTTACTTTGGGTTTGTCTTGTTACATTAACAGAAATTACATCATAACTAACTGAAAATAAAGTGGACAGAAGCAAACTCACAAAAGAAAGTCTTCCACAAACAGAACTCCGGCTTACATGAGGTAGCTTCCTGAGGAAAGGCTTGAACAAATAAATTGCCTTTACAGCATGAAAGTCAGCCGACCTTGACTCTGTCAGGCCAAGGAAGGGTGGAAAACAGGCTCTTAAGTCAAAGATCCTCCCACTCTCAAATCTCTTAGTAGCCTTCTAGAATCCAGATCTGTGAACTCTTATTTCCACCACAGCTACCTAGTTTACTGCATACGAAGGAAAGTCGGTCTCCGAGACAGGTAGGGCCAAAATCACGTAGGATTTTAATATGAAACTCTCACCTTCAATTGCACTGTGAATAAACCAGTTGCCCCGCAGTTCACAAAAAACAAGTTGTATTTGCTCTGCATGAAAAAGGCTGCTAATGAAGAATGCTGATACTCCTATATCATCTGAAGCTTCTGGATGACCCCCACAGGCAGTTCCTACACAGACCACCCTGCTGCAAAAACAGTCATGAGGCAAGGCACTATAGGCAGTGGCTAGAGCTGGGGGTCTGGGCAATGATGGATCTCCTCCAATTTAGAGCTCTTCTCCACCTCGCAGCATGACTGCAATCTTGCCTAACATAGCACTGATTTTGCCCTGCAAAGGGCAAAGGGGCACAGGGAGGTTAAGGGAATTGCTGAGTGCCATGAATGCTCTCTGGCTAATCCAGGAATAAGACCACGTACTTTATGCCATCACAGTCTACCCGTTCTGGGGACTGGCAGGAACAGCCAGCTATTCCATGCATATATTGCTTCATAAAATATATGTGACAGCAGCAGCTCCTATGCAAACCTTAAAGTAAACCCATGGCATCTTCAGGCAATTTCCTCCCTTCTAACATCCCTTTATCCTTCTTGCTTTCTTCCGTTATAGTTAAAATATAGCAGATGAAAAACATCTTTGTCTAGAATCCCTCACTTTTGTCTTCACATCCTTCCAGTTTCTTGTGATTTCAGTGGCCCCACATAATTTCACCCTTGTCTCCAATCTCAAGTTTTACATCCTAACTTCACAACTTTTTGCTCCCCTTTTTTACCCACTCATGTTTATGAGCTTTTCTATGCTTGAGGCCAGAGGAATTCAATTCTCAATGTTCAGCTAAGTCCAGAAATAAGTACTTTCTCTTGTGAAATAATCCAGTCTTTTCCTGTGTCAAAAATACTCCCTGCACTGAAGAACCTCAAAGTTGCTAGAAAAGAAGCCCCTCTCTACATTTGCTCATCTGTTTAAACCAAGACCGCAGCCCAGCTCTCAGAGCCAAATGCAGTGCACTAAAGTTATTCTCGGAAGGGCATCAGTTTGCATGAAAGACAGTTGAATAGCAGACAGAATAAAGGTGAAGTATCAAGTGAATAATTTAGAGCTTCCCCAGTTCTGGTTTGGGGAGACAGAAATATCACTCATTACACATCTACTGTGACATTCTGGGTGTAGAGAAGTATACTAGCTGAAGTTGTTCTATGGCCTGCATCTCAAGTTCTGCGAAACTGTAAAAGAACCATGACAGTTAAAATGAAGAAAGAATGAAACAAGAACAGACAGTGAGGGACCACAGCCTAATCAAAATAATTTTTCTTTTTTTCTTCTAGAGGGAGCATTACCAGAATTCCTTATACTGGAACTGTTCAGTTTGGAATCTTTGATGACCAAGTGCTTAATCCAAAGGGTGGGTGCTGTGATTTCTGAAAGACAAAAAACAAGCGCCTTAGAGAAACTAAAACATCTAGTGAACACACATCGCTGTTACTCGTGTAGATAAGGCATGTTTGCTACAATCATGCATTAACTGATGCATTGTCTTTGTAGATATCAGTGCTTACCCTCCAGTGACACTTTCCATCTCTTATGAGCCACTTTGTCAACCTGCCACAAGGTTATGTCATCATCTTCCCTTCCAGAGAGTACCTCTCTATTGTCAAAACATTTTTATTCTCCCCTCACCTTTCCATTTCCTTGCCAAATTCTCAAGTCTTTCTCCTCAAGACTCAAAGAACTCAAGAATTATGTTGTGTTCTGTAGTATATAATGATTTCCAACAATGCACATATGAAATCCAGATAAAAATGTCAATCCAGACCTTAAAAATATTGCCTCAACAGCCCAAGAAGAGCTGACCAAAGCTTTGGCAGTTTCCCAAAACAAACAACAACAAAACCCAAAACAAATAGGCACAGAAATGAGGATATTGTTAGAAACACTTAAATGGAAGCCTGTTAAAGAAATAAATTGTGGTTAAAAAAGCATGTCTAATGCGTGACAACCAAGACATCCAAACATAGATTTGTGAAAGAAGTGCTTAAAGCTCCTACTCTGAAGCGTTACAATCCACTTCAAAACACAGCAGAACCTGTCTTAAGCAGCTTCTTAAGGAAATGACATAACTTCAGCATTTGAACAGAAACTGGGTAAAGTGGTACTTGATACCAGGGGGTAGAACTCCTAAAGGGACACTGTCAACATGGATATTTTCAGACTAAAAAATTTCCAGTTTCCAGAAGCACATTTTAAATACTAGAACCTGGAGTTCGTCTTAAGACGTTCCTCAAAGAAGTTTTTACAAGAGGTCTTCTGCTCCCTTGTTGACATTCATATGAATGTGCTCAGAAAGGCAGAAGCTGACTGACTACAGGAGACACTGACTATATATTATATTTTAAAAGCACAAAGCAAAACTAAGCGGGATTTTTTCCCCTCCTAAATGTTTTCAGCTACATTGATCCTAGGCATTACTGTAACCATATTCAGGACATTTTTTAATGTCATATGGAAATATCTGTTTAGCATTGATATATCAGCAGTAGTAAAAGGTTGCTTAATAATGATTGTCTTACCTGTAGCTTTCACTGCACTATTTCATCACCACTCAGTCATGACTTGTTCTCACAAATATATATACATATACCTATAAACTTTGTGCCTCTTGGGGGGAAAGAACTAACCCTTTGAGATGTACCATAAAAATATATTTTCCATCCACCTATCCAACCTGGACATTTGCTAGAATATAGAGAAGCAATCTAGATTAATTGCTCCCCTGAACAGCAGATATGTGGAAAGAACAGATTCCCAGTACATAAAGAAGTAAGTTTACCAAAAAGAGATGTTTAAAGAAGCCATGGCCTTAGGAAATGAGTACGACTTGCATGTTGAAACCAAATAGAGCTTGGATCCAAAGAAAACAGAGCCTAGAACTGCAGGCGGGAATAAAACTGATTTTTTTTTTAATTATTTAAAAACAACAGAAAGGACCATTAATGAAATACTCTTCTTTAAGGGAGAATCTCACCCTAAGATGAGAATCACTATGAACATTGAGATCTGCACTGTAATGAAAGGAAATAATTGTTAAAGAAATGGCTGCTTTATGATTTAAGCTTTGGACAGGAGAGTTTAGGTTATCTGATCTACATTTTTTCTGGCTCTGGCACTTCAAGGAGGAAGGTGGGGAGTGGAAGGGGAACTCATGTCTAAAATTCGGATTTCGGTTATCCTCTAGTATAGGTGAGAGAAAGGTGAGCCTTAATCTTGGAGAAGCAGAGCCCCAACAGGTACCAGAATCTCATTAAATACCCTTTGAAAAAAGTCAGTCCCTTGTACTCAAAGTGAGGCATCCAAAAACAAGGCATGAAAAAAATTTGTTATCCATTTCTCTTGCTATCAGCTTCATCCTGGTTGCCTGACTTTGAATATACAGATTTTCAGGAGTCCAACAGACACCTCACACCCACTGAAACTGAATGGGATTTGGACATTAACTCCTTCAAACACTTGTGAATAGTCTAGATCCAATAGGTGAATGGATAACTGTTTTACCCTTTTCTGTCATCTGACTTTTGTGTCAGACAGCAAGTACAAGCTATTCCTCACAAAGACCTGCCGAGAAGCTGAGAGAGTATTCTAGTGAAGTATGACATGCTCGCTCAGCTAGGATCAAAGAACTATTCAGGATAACCCCCTGAGGTCATCCACTCCCACCTTCTGCTCAAGGCAGGGTCAGCTATGAGATCAAATCAGGCTGCTTATGACTTTATCAATGTCGCTTGGAAAGTAAAGAGGCAGCACTACCTCTCTGGATAGCCTGTTCCACTGCTTGACTATCCTCATGGTGAAGAAGTTTTTCCTTATATCCAGTCCAAACCTCTCGTTTCAATTTATGCCTGTTATCTCTTGTCCTCTTATCATGCACAACTGTGAAGAGCCTGGCTCCATCCTTTTGATAACCTCCTTGTAGGTACTGGAAGGCTGATATTAGCCCCCTCTAAAGCCTTCTCTTCTCACCTAAACACCTCTTAAACTATTTCTGGTGTACCAGTTTTGAGCAACCGTTGGAGACAGTGTGCTCCAACAGTAGTGGGTTACACAAACCTTTGGCCTGACCCCAAATGGATTTTCTTATGCCTATTTCTACAATACCCACGGAAATTTAGCTAGCCGTATTTTACTAACCGGGATGACAAAACTACAGAGAGACTGACTAACGTATCAGAGGTTAATCATCAATGCACAGCTTGATTACCCTGCCTGTCAGCCTCACGTTCTCTTCTCCTAAATCCCATAAGTGACACTGCTAATATAACAGGAGGCCTTTGAATTAGTCACTCTCTCTAGAAGTCTAGGAAATAAGGTCTTGCATAATATACTGCAAGATTAATGGTGAGAGGCAGTCTTTCATCATATAGTCCAAGTCCCTTTATCAGATTTGGTTTCATTGACACTTCAGTGCAAAATTTTGAGACTGAAAGTGTTTCTCAATGGAAGAGAAGACAAGATTTTTTTAAACTCTTCCCGTCACCAGATGCACCAGAAAACACCTGCTCACAAGAGTACTTCTCAAGAACAGTTCAATTTGAATAACCAAAATGTTGAGTCTTTCCTAGAAGGAGCTTCTGAGTGGGCCATATTAATCAGATTAGCTAACTCCTGCATTTTACTAGTACATTCTTTCCTTTGAATATCTATGGGCACTCTCTCAGGGGAAAATTTAAAGGCATGCTGTGATTACAAACAGTCATTTAACACAACATCAGCTTGCTGCCAGGAGGAACTTTCTTTTGATATAAACAAGAGATAGTCAACTAGACTTTAGTCTCCTCTGTTTATTTATGTGGGAGTGCTGTTGTTTGCTCTGAGAGCTTTGTTTTGTTTCTTAAAGCTCCTAAGAAGATTCTTACAAACCTATAATCACTAAATGGAAGTGACAGGACTACAGCATCTTGCTAATAAATAAACTTATTTTAACAACAAAAAAAACCACCCCACCATCTGTTTTTCCAGGAAGGCTGGAGGTATCAAACAGCACCATCTACTCTTGCTTAGTAGTCTCCATCTCTGCCTTTGATCCAGTTTTTAAAAAATGTTGAGTTTAGTGCTTCAGTATTAAAATGCATAGGTTTTCCTCCACTCCCACAAGACCCATAATTCCAAGCAGGTCACAGAGTAGTTCAAACTTCAGTCTGTAACTTGATTATACTGGAAGTGGATTTATACCTACAGAAAACCTGCAATACTTCTAAGCAGTACTCAAAATCTAACTGATAGCTAATAGGCCCATTCACTACCACAGGACCAGTATTTCTATTGGTGCATATTTATAAGCCTGTACACTGAAAAAGCTTGAAATCCTATATTATAGCCATTTTGTCCTGTTTCAAAGCTTCCAATGGACTAAGTTCCAATATTCCCTCTCCAAAACAATATAATCACAAGATTAGCCCATTTGAGAAGGAACTGTCTTGGTGGGCCATGAATTAAGTGGGCCTAGGACACTGACTTCATTTGCTTAAATAGTGCGTGCGTCAATGAAAGTAACTGCTAAATAAAGAAATCTCCCAGCAATTTTCTTCCAAGTCAACATTCACAAGCTGTGGTTTAGCACTTCCCTCCCTTTGCTGAAGCTGTTATGCACTGCAGAGGTTATGAAACTTCCAGCATCATTATCATGAGGGCGGAGAGACTGAGGGGGTAAGGACAGATTAGAAGAAGCTGTCATTTCTGACTCAATGAGCACTTTTTAGCCGAGACACCTTTTCCTCCAACTTCCTTCAATTAGTGCTGTTGTTGGATACCAGAGAAAGGGGGAGGATGCAAAAGGATCTGGGAAAATGCCTGAGGCCCCAAGAGCACTGTTAAACGTGGACAAATTAGGAGATTCACAGACTTTTCTGCTTTGCCAGATAAAGAAAGCGTTTAAACCACAAATTCATACAGAAAAAAGAGAGGGAAGTAGTGAGTTTTTGTTTTTCTGGGTTTTTTTGTTTTTTAAGGGATGCTCTTACCTTCTCCGTCAAAAACAGGCTGGGTTTCCATGGTAGGCGTTGGCTTCGAACCATCATCTGAATTGAGAGTTAAAAAGAATCGAAAAGAAACTACCATTATTGAGGTAAATACTATCTACTCTCCAGTACTGTTGAATGATTGGGATTTGTACATAGCCCGGCCAAGTCCAGAAGACAGAGAAGACAGATAGAACGAAAAAAAATTATTCAGAGTTTTCTCTGACAGCAGTACAAAATTTTACATTGCAAGCATGCACCGAGCATTATCCTTGGACTTAAAAGAAACCTCCCTCCCCAAGCCCTCCACTAAACATTGGTATGAATCATGTGGTAGTTTCCCCTCCCTCTGATTCACTGATTAGGCAATCATCTTTTTAGTTTCAGGTGGGTATATCCCACATAGATTATTTCCTGTGACAGTAGGGGTCTGAAAATGCTGGCCCCCAGTGTCCTTCTAGTTTTTCTCTTTGTTGGAAAGAAAAACTCTTCTTCTGAGACTTACCCATATGGAACCTGGCACCACCATTCACTGCAGAGCTGCTAGAAAGGGATGGTCAATAGGAAATCTTATTTCCTACAATGTCTGCATCAAGCTGTTCTCTAATTGCAATGTTGTGGCAACGTCTTCTAATTGCAAAAATGTAGAAAAAGAACTTCTCTTAAATTAGACTTCTCGTGTGCAAGAATGCTCCACATCTTTGGACCACAAGTCTCTCTCAATTAAAAGTTTCAACCAAAAAAGATTCCGCAGGAAAAATAAATCTCAATTTAGAGACGGATCACAGGGAAAAAAGTTCAGATTACATTCCTCTTGTATCAGTATACCTATCCATCACATCTACAGGCCTAGCCTGGATTCAGGTTGAGTCTAACTTCCTTTAAGCTCAAAGGGATCTGGATTTCAAAACCAAACTTGCACCCATGTTTACGTAGCACTACAACAGTGGCATAGCGTTAAGTGAGACAAATCATTTGAGTATGGGGAAACTAAGGAGGAACAAACTGTAGAGGAAAGTCTTTTGTTACATTGCAAGATGAGAATGTAGAACACTGTTGGGATGTAAACTAAGTGAGAGGAGAGTAGCCCAGAGTTGTTGTTTTTTTCTTCAGGGAATACAGTGGTTTTACAAAGCTTGTAATTTGTTACAACTGTTTTTGTATGCATGCAAAGATGACATCAAGCATCAGCAAAGTAGGCAGTAACCTAAAATGGAAAGTTGCCAGGCACAGTGAAAATCAGTTGGAGAGAGGAGTCTATGCCAGAAAAGCCAGTCTTGCCACTGTCTTCAAGACTCCATTAGATGTTCTGGGCATAAGCCATTTGGAGGAAAAGCGCATGGGACAGACCCTCCTAGAAGTAGTAGCAACTGCCTTCAGCCTTTTCCTAGTATTAATTCTGGTTACAGCAAAGAATGAAAAAGCCTATTGGAAGGGGAGGACAATGGCAGAGATGGAAGACAGAGGCAAATAGACACCTGTATTTGCAGTTTTATAAAGTGAGCAAAAACCTCTTCCTCAGACCATTAACTTCACGCATTTCCACATAAAGGAACTAAAGTCATAGGAAGCAAAAATGTGCTGGCAATGCCATTTCAAGCCCAGAGTTACTGGCATAACATCCCCATTACTGAAGTACTGCAGTAAAGGGGATGGACAAAAATCAGCAAGAAAGATTCTTTAGGCATTTACCCTCTTGGATTAATGTATTTGTCTCTAAACTTGACTGTAAGCATAGCAAAAAACAATTTGGAAATAAAAATACTTACCATTTCTCTGTCAATACTTGTTCTCAGTTTTCCTATTATTAGGTATTACCAATAACGTGGATAAGGAATATTTTTCATTAAAAGCTTGAGCAAGTTATTTCCTGGAGAAATTCCCTGAATTTTGCTTAATTTACAGAGGGAAGATTTTGTCCTTGATTTCTACGTTGATTTTGCCCTTTAAAAGACTATTTTGGATAAAAGGAAACAGTTAATCTTCACTTTTTCTCAGAACAGGCTGCTCTGCTTCTACAGGATCCCAGAAACCACAGCTATTGCTTTTTATTTGTTTAGGATAATACTTCACAGTCTAATGAAGTAGTGAGCAATACCTTATTACTAGCATGATTGGCTTTACAGATTAAGAAACCAAATCAAACCTGCAAAAGTATATGTAGAGCAACTGGAAAGGTAAATAATTCATAAGTTATACAAAATAGGAAAAGATCTGGCATAATAAATTACCATTACAATAATAACTTTATTACTATTGTTCCCATGAATGCTTCTGCACCAAGTAATTACAGAATTGCTTTTCAGATCTAACCAGTAACCCAAGAGCCAACAATGGAGAAAAATTAGAAGTGGATCTGAGCCACAAAACTTTGTGTCCAGACCCCTGTGTGAACTCTGGCAGAACTCAGGATGCTCCAGGTTCAGGGGGTTTCTTTTAAACTCATCTCTTGGGGAGAGTGGTGGTGAAGAACAGAAACAGCAGCAATTATTACAATTTGGGAAATGTTTCCTCCTTAAAGAATGAGAAATTTGTGGCTTTTCTGTATAAAATTAGCTATTAAGCTATTGAACAGTATTAGACAGTGACAGAACAAATGCAGCAAATGGACAAAAAAACCAAACTGACCTTTGAACCGTGGGAGTTGTTTTTACGATAATCTAAAACTCTAATGCCAAACTGTCACTAAGTCCCATAGCAGCTCCCGATACAGTGTTAAGGTTTTCCAAATAGAGGGAAGTATAATTACTCCTCTGTTGTTCAAGCAAGTACACTTCTTTCATCACATACACGAGAGAAAATGCAATAGACAAGAGCCCTGTAACTAAGTCCACCATATTTCAAAAATCAAAAGCCAGGGATACGTCTGATTAGTTTTTAAATGTCATGAAATAGTCACATAAAAGACAAAAATCACGCTTTACTGAAAACACAACGCTCACGTTCCAGCTGCTGGCTTCTGACTCTGAAACTATCCAAGTATCTTTCTTAAACCAGAGAATTCTCAGTAAATCTCAGTGTCTCCTACTAGCTTATGGCAAAAAGTTTCACTGCCATTCCCTTTGGGCAGAGCAACTCTAATGCTTGTCTACTCTCATTTGATTTTTCTTCTCCCTCAATACACCACTCATCACACTGAACTAGCAGAGTTCCACTAGCAGAGTTTGCTACCGGTAAACAGGAGTAAGTTCTACTTTGCATACCTGCAAACAAACAAACATTTTGTATTCCTTTAAGAAGCGTTTTGACTGAGAACAGAAAAGCCAAGCTATTTCAGATATCCAGAATCTGTAATGATATCACACAAGACATACAGGATATTGTTACTTTGTAGCTAAAGGTCAGGAAGTGTGTTCATAAGCTATGATGTATTCCTTTCCTCAAAAAGCTATCAAATCCTACAATTTCAAAAAATGTCCATAACTGCAATAGCCCATAATTTTAAAGCCATACTCCTTTCCAGTAAGCCTCCTTTCTCCCAGGGCTGAACTAAAAGTTCTTTGGCGCACCTGATATCAAGTTAGGAATAGTATTTTTATCTTATGGTACTTTTATCACTAGTAGGAGTTAAACAGGCAGGTTCAAACATCTCTCCCTAACTCCTTTTCTCATTAAGATACCATGGCTATAAGCCTGCAGCCCACTTGCATGACTGCACTGTCAGGGAACAGTTTCCTTTGTGTTAGCCTGGCAATAATTCAAAACAGGGACAAATAACCTGCATGTCCAGATATATTGCAAGTGGTGGACAGGAACTCTTTATGGTCTTACCAGGAAGAGGATACTTCCCTTCCTTAACCTTGTTCTCACAGAGTATCTGGCATGCATCCACATCTGGAATAACTGCAGTGTACACTGGAGTTGGGGGGCAAGAGATTCCTTCAGTGAAGGAACACTATTACAGTGATGTTGATACGCCAAACTACCAGTGCAGAGGCCACAAGCAACTCAAGTAATGTCGGGTAAGAGTAAATTCCCTGACGTAGAAAAGGTATACATTATTATGAAAAAACTGAAGTAACTGCTTGCGGCTGTGAATCACTGTTCTTGCCAGAAGAATCACCTAATGGAAGAAAAGAGGGGAAAAGATAATTGATACAATTAACCTCATATATCATATCTCCTATCCGGGAAAAAATACCCACTGCAAAAGTCATCTCTATGTTTGCATCACCATGTTAAAGGACTAAGATCTATATTCTTCCTAAGCAACCTCAACCTCCATTGTATTTCCCGTGAGCTCTCACTGGGATCCAAGATGCATTCTGTGGAGACGTTTCTACCATTTTAAAGAGTACTAGAGTGTTTATGGCGCCAACTATCCTCTGTAAGTATACAGCTTGAACATCAAGGGTTCACAGACTTTGAGTCAGACTGCTGGAAAAAGAGGATGAAAATTTTAAGTGCATAGCTCTGCCCTGGGAGGAGTCAGCCTTCTACCAGTGTCAAATGGTTCCTGCACTATCATAATGCATATTGGGTGAGCCATTATAGAGCACAGCTTAGGCTAAATATGCAAGTTAGAGCACAGATAGCCAGGACAATGACTGAATTCTTACCATGACCTGGCCGCAAGTAGCAAAGCCCATCTTTTCTGAGTTTGTCAAACTGACTGGGAGGGAGAAGACCCTTCCCTGAGTGCTCCCAAAGAAATTAAGCCATAAATACACCTCTGTGTGGCTTTAGTAACTCTAATCAGATTCAAAAAAGAATTGCCAGGTCAGCTCAAGCTCCCTGTATCCGGGCAATTCCTGAATCCTGAAGTACTTTCACAGCTTACACTTCTATGTATTACCGGACTTGAGGGTGTTGGTTTAAGTATCAAAAAAAAACAAACCAAAACAAAAAGTGTTTTAGACAGCACTAGATAGGGATCTTACACAAACTAACGTCCCTTCCAGTATCATAGGGGCGAATTGCTGCTTTATTCACGATCATTCTCTACATCAAGTGAAGCCGTTTCAGCAAGTCATAATTAATCTAATAGTCTATGCAACTTTTACACACAGACATATATTGCCAATATAAAAGCAAAAAGTTAGCGCTCATACCAAAAAATG